CTCAATCAGATGCAAAACTGTTGAAATCAAATTAAAATCTAAAACAACAGATTTATCGATAATTAACTTGACTTTAATTAGAGCTTAATTACATTGAAATCGGATAAAAATTGACCGAGCTGTGAGGCAAAAACTGCTTTATGTCATTTTTGGGTTAGTTTTGTTTGATAAATTCAATTTTGAAGCTATTCAGGTGCGAAACTGTTGGAACCAAACTAAAATTTCAATTAACAGGTTTGTAGAGAATTTGATTGGCTTTAATTAGAGCTTAACTGTGTTAAAATTGGATAAAAATTAGAGGAGCTGTAAGGCAAAAACTGTCTCAGTGTCATTTTTGGAAAATTTTCAATGTTTGATAATTTCAAGTTTGAAGCTTCTCAGCTGAAACTAAATTAAAATCCTAAATAATAGGTTCGAAGGGAATTTAATTCACTTTAATAAGAGCATTAGAGCTCCACTCTGTGTTGAAATCGGATAAAAATTAGAGGAGCTGTAAGGCAAAAACTGTCTCAGTGTCATTACTGGAAAATTTTCAATGTTTGATAAATTCAATTTTGAAGCTTCTCAGGTGCAAACCTGTTGAGACTAAATTAAAATTTCAATGAACAAGTTTGTAAAGAATTTAAGTGGCTTTAATTAGAGCTTAACTGTGTTGAAATCGGATAAAAATTAGAGGAGCTGTAAGGCAAAAACTGTCTCAGTGTCATTACTGGAAAATTTTCAATGTTTGATAAATTCAATTTTGAAGCTTCTCAGGTGCAAACCTGTTGACACTAAATTAAAATTTCAATGAACAAGTTTGTAGAGAATTTAAGTGGCTTTAATTAGAGCTTAACTGTGTTGAAATGGGATAAAAATTAGAGGAGCTGTAAGGCAAAAACTGTCTCAGTGTCATTACTGGAAAATTTTCAATGTTTGAAAATTCAATTTTGAAGCTTCTCAGGTGCAAACCTGTTGAGACTAAATTAAAATTTCAATGAACAAGTTTGTAAAGAATTTAAGTGGCTTTAATTAGAGCTTAACTGTGTTGAAATCGGATAAAAATTAGAGGAGCTGTAAGGCAAAAACTGTCTCAGTGTCATTACTGGAAAATTTTCAATGTTTGATAAATTCAATTTTGAAGCTTCTCAGGTACAAAAATATTGAAACTAAATTAAAATTTCAATTAACAGGTTTGTAGAGAATTTAATTGGCTTTAATTAGAGATTAACTGTGTTAAAATTGGATAAAAATTAGAGGAGCTGTAAGGCAAAAACTGTCTCAGTGTCATTTTTGGAAAATTTTTAATGTTTGATAATTTCAAGTTTGAAGTTTCTCAGCTGTAAAACTGTTGAAACTAATTAAAATCTTAAATAATAGGTTTGTAGAGAACTTAGTTGGCTTTAATTAGAGCCTTATTGCGTTGACATCGGATAAAAATTAAAGAAGCTGTGAGGCCAAAACTGTTTCAATGTAATTTTTGGTAAGTTTTCAATGTTTGATAAATTCAGTTTTGAAGCTTCTCAAATGCAAAACTGAACTGTTAAAACAAATACACAATTTTGTCTTACTAAGTAAACTCAAAATTATTAATCCGCAAGACCCACTAGAATTTTTTAAAAATCTGGGTTTTTGCCAACCCCTCCCATAAAGAAAATATAGAATAGAAAAAACTGAATGCCCTTTTTATTTATTATTTTTTTCTCAATTTTTCTACATTTCTACTCTATTTAATTTTGAGTTTCACTGTCTCAATTTTTGTCTATTGCCGGCTCTTGAATTTTCGTTTTCTATTAAATTTCTCTTAATAGGGAAAATTCAAGAGTTTAGAATAGAAGCGAAATACTTTTAACTTTATGTCTACTTGTGTACCAATTTTTTCTCAATTTCTCTTGAATTTCTTTTCTCTATTTCCCATTTTTTTCCGCTCAATATTTGTCTATTTTCGGCTTTCGAATTTCCCGGAAAAAAGAAAATTCAAGCGCCTGTGATAGAAAAAATGTGAATGTTCATTTATCTAACAATTTTTGCTCTAGTGATGAGCAAATGCAAGACCAAGACCAAGACCGGGCTAGTCTTGGTCTTGGTCTTGGTCTTGCAGTCTAATAAGTGGTCTTGGTCTTGGTCTTGGTATTGCAGCAAGACTCTTGCAAGTCTTGCATTGATTTGGTAGATTTTTACTAGAGGGAATTTTAACAAAGAAAATTAAAAAAAAAAATAGTAGTAGATAGTCAAAGCGGGTTCTAGCATCAAAATCCGACCATAACCTCAATCTTGCATTCTTGACACGAAGGTGGGTGCGGCATCTTGTCATCTATCAAACGTCATGGCGCCATCTGTCGAGAGTGCGGTGAATTCTTGCAATTGATCGACAAGGGTTCGAAATTACAGTTTCCGCGCCGCCGATCTAGAGATTTTCCCACGGTATCGAAAATTTTCTCAGGCTCAGGTGCGCCCGTTACTACTAACCTGTCTGGAAAAGCTGCCTGTGTAGACAGACCTGTTTCGAAAAGCTGTCTTTATAGACAGACCTGTCCCATAAAAAAGCTGTCTGTCTATAAAGACAGCTTTTCGAGACAGGTCTGTCTACACAGACAGCTTTTTTATGGGACAGGTCTGTCTATAATGACAGCTTTTCGAGACAGGTCTGTCTACACAGGTAGCTTTTCGAGACAGATTAGTAGTAACGGGCGCACCTGAGCCTGAGAAATTTTTCGATAACGTGGGAAAATCTCTATATCGGCGGCGCCTTTAGGAAACTGTAATTTCGAACCCTTGTCGATCAATTGCAAGAATTCACCGCACTCTCGACAGATGGCGCCATGACGTTTGATAGATGACAAGATGCCGCACCCACCTTCGTGTCAAGAATGCAAGATTGAGGTTATGGTCGGATTTTGATGCTAGAACCCGCTTTGACTATCTACTAATAGTTTTTCATGCCATTTGAAGTAAGTAAATGTTTAAAGAAAGGGAGAGTATATGCCAGTATCGAAATTTTGGCTTTTCAATTTTGAGTACCTCTACCATAGCAGCAAATTTTAACAAGTACAAATGACTTGTTAACTAACCTGTGAATAATTAAAAGTACTTGAATGTGGTTACAGTATTTATTACTTTATTAAACGATTATTTTGGCAACAATAGAGAGATATATACTGGAAGTGTGAGTGCATTATTTAGCAGTGACGTCCCCATCCCCTTTATGATCCAGAGATCTATCCCTAAATTAAATGTTGATACCTCAGTTAGAGGCCCTAACAATAGGTATAATGTGGGATTTGTAATTGACCAAATTGAAAAATCAAAATTAAGAAAAATTGGAAAATGAAAAAAATCGATAATTACTTCCTTTAGATTTTTATGAATACTCATGAATCAAATAAATCAGAATGAAAATGATTATTCTTGAACTATTATACGTAACCTCAAACAACTGCAAAAAATCGTTTTTTATTCATCTTGGGGGGTAGGTAATAATTAATAACATTGACTTAATAACTACTTTTAAAAATTTACATATACCAATAATAACGGTCTAACAATCGTTTCAAAGACGTCACGGCACTGACCACAGCCTGGCTTATTATTATCATTTATCATTATTTATAGAGTACTTATACTTATATTACGTTCAAGGAAAACTGGGGCCCGAAAAGCCAGTTTCTTTGTGTGCAGATAATACGGCGACAATAAACTCTCTTTGCCGCTACAAAATAAAAAAATAAATAAAAGCGCATTGCTGGCAACGGACGGACAAAACAAGAAAACGAGGTCGTGTGCATATTGGGTTTTTCGACTTGGAAATTAAAAAGTTTTCCGGAATTCGGCCCCCGTTCACCGGAAAAAAAAAACAGGAAATCGTTCCTAGATCCCGGAAATTGATTGGTAAATTTTTTCACCTTGATTGCCTATGATAGGTTTTTATCGGAATCAGGAGAAAACATTTTAGAGCCAGAAAGCAAATAGAATGGGGAAATTTTGCGAAGTTTGATGCAGCAACTGATTCCAGCATTTTTTGACCCACCCTGTAGATTTCAAAAATTAGAGCTTTGCTAAAAATATCTAAGTAAAATTTCAAGTTCGAAGCCTAATTTCTCAACGAATTTAATCCTCTTTCAGAAAATCCATAATACAACAGTTGATTCGTTCAGAATTACCAAAACTATGAGTATATTTTTGAGGCCATGTCAAACTATAAGAAAATTTCTGAGGTCAAAATTGAGATTTTCTTTAGAATTATTTTTTTCCGATGAAACTACCTACCCTTATGGAAATAATATAGGACTTGATTTAAATTAATTTCAACCTCCTCTTTCGATAAAAAAAAGTCAAAATTTGAAAAAAATCAAAACTGATTTTTCAGCCTATAGTACTTATGTTTTATTCAAAATCCTCAATTGACAATATCTGCCTGTAGCTTTTTTGAGACAAAACTAAATATAATTTTCAAAAAGTAGTGTTTTAAATTTTCAGATACTGGTTTAATTCAGCAGAAACATAATTCAACTTACTTTATATCAATTCCTAAGGAATTCTCCATGAATCTAATCCCTTCGTACACCAAATTGAACACTAACCACGACTCTTGGTACATATGCAATTCAATTAACAATATTTCCCCTTAGCAAAGCACAATTTATTCACCTAATGCAAACCTATACTGGCAAAATACTATGCGAGTACTGTAATTTATACGATATATAAATTTTGATTATGTGTTCAAGATTAAATGATTAGGTTTTTTTTGTTTTTTTTTGCCTTATCAAATATAGAAGGCCCATATAATAAAAATCAACATTCAAGCTGCATATTCGACCCAGCAAATAAAAAGTGAAAGTTGCACTTCTCTGCTTTTCTAAAAACACGGTTGCATAAATAAATAAATAAAATAATATTATGGCCGATTTCGTTTTTAAGTCCTCTGTACTTATTTATTAATGTATTATGAAGGTTATTAACATTTTATGTGAGACATTGTTTATAATTATGAGGACAAAATTATTTGAAAAAAATTTCACCTGTTTATGTTTGCAGTTTTGGAAGCCGAATGGCCAGCGATGGTGATGTGCACGTAAACGTTTGAGTCATTTTCTGATAATTTTGCCAGTTCCTCACCCTTCCACTTGTAAATGAATACAGCGCTGATATTCCCTAGAAAAAAAAAATATATTAATCACTAAACTAATTACTTTGCCCTTATTTATGTCACGACAATAATAGGAATTTTGTTTCACTAATAATTATTTTTAATCAGAAACGCACGCTAAGTGCACTTGGCAGAATAAATTGTTTGTTCTGTATAATTTTATTTTGGTAATTATTAACGATTTTATCATAAAAACTTCGAGCTTGAAGAAAAAAGTGGCCTTAACCTTTTGGCATTAGATCAGAAAGTGAAACGTCCCACGATTTATTATAAAATGCTTTTTGGCAAGGCAATATGAAAGAGGGCGAAAAAGCTTATTTATGTGAGTCATTAGGGATAAAATGAGGAAAAAAAAGATATTTTTAAAATATTCCAGAACATTACATATATGTCTATTACAAGACAACAAACAAAAATGCAAGAACAAAAAATTGAAGAACTTCTGCGCAAAATGTTGGAACTTGAAGAGACTAAACGACAACAAGGAAACAAAGACGAAAAGGCTAGACGACAAAAAAAAAAACAAGAAGAAGAAGATGAAAGACAAAAAGAAAAATAAGAAGAAGAAGAAGATGAAACGGCAAGAAGTCCTTGGACAACTGCAGAAAATATTTCAAACCATACATGGATCTGTCGCTAACCTAAAACAAAAGATTAAGGAAGTTCTCTACGAATAGTGATCGAGATCTCATCTCACCTGTCTGCTCCTGTTCTCTGCGCCAGAGATAAAGAAGAGCTCTCCCCTAATTTTTCTCTACAGAAATGTAATAACTTGCTCAACCTGCACTTGGAGCGCGTATAAGGCTAACAATACTTTGCGTAAGTCCCCTAGCTATCGGGATTGCTTTAGGCGGCCAGTTCACGAGCCCCCAGGGTATTGTTAGTGCGAACTGCCTTCGGGCACGAAGCAAGAAGAGAAAGAGCCAACGATTTAATCCTTCAGGCGCGAAATCAGGTTTTCGAAAAGCCCAGTTCGTCGAAAGGGAAACCTGCATCAATCGTCGAATTGGAGGTTGGTGTCCTAGGAGAGTACTTTTTATTAAAGCTAAAGACGATGTTCAAGAAGTTAAAGACAAGAAGTTGAGGACCAAGTTCAAGCACTTGAAGATTAGGTAAATAAATTAGAAATAAAGATACAGATCTGCGTTCATTGATGGTCTCAGAGATTCCAAGATCCAGGAAAACCTGAGAATGTCTAAGTTCAGAAAAAGTAGCAAAGCCCTTGTCCGAGCATTGGAACTAGAAGCAATCTTTACTCTATCGGGCTTTAAATGGTTCTTCATTTTCAATATCAAAAGTGAATACTGGCAAGTGGCAATACACAAAGCGGGTTATACCAGTTTAACGTTATGCCTTTCGGACTGTGTAATGCTCCCGCTACGTTTGAGTGACTGATGCATCTAGTTTTGCGAGACCTTGCTTGGAAGCTTTCCAAATTCAAAATTTACAAGAGCCACGTCGTAAGTACTACAGCAGAACCTTGTCAAAACTAGTAAGAAATTAGTGTGTCACCAGAAGAGAGTTGCTTGCCATGGTAAAAGTAGTCGACCATTTCCATAAGTACCTCTACGGACGTAAGTTTCTAATTCGAACAGATCCCGCGGCTCTAAAATGGCTTTTAGAAATGAAACCTGCATAAAAATGCTGACGCTTTGTCTAGACGGCCATGCAAAGAATCGAAGAACGTTTTTGACGTCATTGATTTAAAAAGTTACGCGTCTTTGAATGTTAAAACATTTATGCCTCGGAAATTCACTGCTGAGAGTCGAGACAGGCTAAAGGCCGTCACACACGGTTTTGCATAAGGCAGTGTCCACTGAATTTCTGCTGACATTGGCACACAGTTTGCAAAACTATACAATATTTATAATTATTTTTTTTGCATTTTACTTCCATAGTTCTATAATTGTGCTCATAATATATTGAAAGTTAGGGGGAGTAACACAATATTATGATTCGGAAGAAAAACATCCAGTTCTACCAGATCCAAAAAATTCCAAACTAAAACTTGTTAAAACAATGTCCGCTGTGGACCGGCGTACCAACACCACCAAGACCAACATAAGAGATGCAGCGACGTCACCGCGTGGCGCGTGTTTCAAATTTGAATTTTCTCTCAATTTCTCAGCTTTTGTCTATTCCTGTCTAACTATTTTTTCAGAATTTGCCTTAAACTTCCTCTTCATTTCTCAATTTTTCTGTTTCAATTTTCTTCTATTCCTGGTTCTTGATTTTTTTTGTTGAAAACTTGGTTTAGGTTGGCCACATGTTCTTGGAGTGAAGTCGAAAAAACGATTATGTCCTTTAGGTACACTAGATATTTTTCGTTTTGTATGCCTCTCAAGATTGAGTCCATGACTCTTTGGTAGGGCTTCGCAAGACCAAGACCATGACCAAGACTGGCCAGTCTTGGTCTTGGTCTTGAAAAATAAATTTGGCCTTGGTCTTAATGTTTCAAGACCAAGACAAGACTGGCTCAGTCTTGGTCTTGGTCTTGGTCTTGATAATCATGGTCTTGGTCTTGATAGTCTTGAAAAAAATTTATACCAAATTTTTAAAATATACATAACATGTAACGACAGAGCAGAGGTAGGTCCTGCTATGCTATGCATAGGAAATATCCGAGGAAATATGCCTACGTATAGATTTTCTTGAATATCTCGAAAAATACTAATCCGATTTTGACCTTTTTGGAGTTTGATACCTACAAAAGGACCCCAAAAACTTCAAAATCGGATTAGTATTTTTCGAGATATTCAAGAAAATCTACGTAGGCATATTTCCTCGGATATTTCCTATGCATAGCATAGCAGGACCTACGTACTTTGATGAGCTGTATCTGCTATCACAGACATACGATCCTCTTTATATATTTCAAATTTTTTCTTGCAATGATAATACCTTTAAAATATTGGAATTTGGTTGAAATTTACTGTGACCTATTTTCAATGTTAATTGTGCCTCCTTCTTTAAGGAAAGTTGTGATATGTAAAAGAAACGAAAAATGTATGAAACGTCTACTGTATTATTAAAGTAAATCGTACCGTTCTCATCCTGGAACTAACGAGGGGAAAGAGCACGGCAGAGAAACCCTCGATCTAACATTCCTCAAAAATCGAAACATACTGTGTCATTTTATTAATTTGAGTCAATAATTCAATAATTTAAATCGATAAAATTTTAAATTAGGTACCATCCCTTGTCTTTGTGCTAAAATTTCAATTACACACACTACATTCAATCAACACTACCTATAATCAATACTGAAGAGTTTTTGGTTAATTAACCTACCTGTGGCAGGTACTGAGGTCCTTGGTTACGATAACTCACAGCTATAGTTGTTTTTGAGCCAATATCTCTAGATTGATTATTTCAATTTGCTAGGATATTCTCTCGTCAAGGTAGGAAAATGTTAGTAAATTCAACAAGGCTCTAATGCACGCTCTAAATTCAAAAATCAAAATCCCAGCACAAAAAGACAGCACATAATTTCTTAGGTTTTAATTTACTTCTTTATCGGTGTTGTTAACAGCATGAAACCATTTTTGTTAAATACATGAACAATGCACATGTTATAAACAAATAAAAAAAAGAATCATAAAAATGGAAAAATGATACTTGTATAAATAATTGAACTGTCAAAAACAAAATAACATTTAATCAACTAACCTGTGAACGCTTCTTACACACACACTAATAACAAATTGGATTGAACAATCAATTTTAATGCAAAAAAAAATGAAAATTGAATAATGAATAATTACAGACACGCGACACGTTTCTAAGGGACCAGTCCAGTTCGTTCTGTAGTCTAGTTGCGTATTTCCCCATCTCCCCTTCGTAATACCGTTCCTTGTGGCTCGATCGCGGCGCATACATGGTTGCAACATTTACTTTTATTCAGTAAAAGCTTTTTTTTAAAAGTTAAGATTCAAAGAAATAATATTTTAAATAGGTGGTTTTCCTCAGTCTTGAATGTCAAGTCTTGGTCTTGGTCTTGAGAAGATTTATTAGGTCTTGGTCTCGGTCTTGGTCTTGGTGTTGCTACCAAGACCAAGACTAGTCTTGACGTCTCGCGAAGCCCTACTCTTTGGAACGTTGCGGGGGCGTTCTTAAGCCCAAACGGCATTCTCAAGAATTCATAGTGTCCATTCTATTTAGAAAAAAAAAATCCAAAAATAAAGTAAATATGAGAGCCTAGAAGAGAAAAACTATGTCTATATTTATCTAAAAATTTCTTCTCAATTTGCCTTGAATAATCAGAAGAAGTATAAAACATATTTATCAAAGAAAAGGAAGTTCAAACTATGAAAGTCCGAAGGAGTCAAGGAAGTTTAAAGAAATCTAAAATTATTGAGGAAATCCGAGGAAGAAAGTAAATCAAGTTTTAAGAAAGTTGGTTAGTAGAAATCCATAGAAGTTCAAACTATAGAAGTTTGAGAGAGAAAGTATTGTGGGAAAGATTGGAGAAATTTTAGGAAATAATCGAAGATATCAGAGGATGTTCAAGGAAGTATAGTAAACATTGCGAAAGTTGAAATTTGGAATTTACCTTAAACTTCCTCTCCATTTCTCAATTTTTCTGTTTCAATTTTCTTTTATTCCTGGTTCTTGATTTTTTTTTTTTTTTTTTGATAACTTGCTTTAGGTTGGCCACATGTTCTTGGACTGGAGTCGAAAAAACGATTATGTCTCTAGGTACAGTGGACATTTTTCGCTTTGTATGCCTCTTAAGATTGAGTCCATGAATCTTTGGAACGTTGCGGGGGCGTTCTTAAGCCCGACCGGCATTATCAACAATTCATAGTGCCCATTCTCTTTTTTTTTTTTTTTAAATCCAAAAATAGAGTAAATATGAGAGTCCGGAAGAGAAAAACTATGTCCATATTTATCTTAGAATTTTTTCTCAATTTGCCTTGAATAGTCAGAAGAAGTATGAAACATATTTATCAGAGAAGAACTTGAAACTATGAAAGTCTTCGAAGAAGTCAAGGAAGTTTGAAGAAATCTAAAATTATTGAGGAAATCCGAGGAAGTTCAAAGGAAGTACGTGCCACACTGATCAAATAATAGAGAAATTTCTGTTCTGTTTTGATGATTTATTCAAATATGAGAAAAAGCTCGGAAAATTATGAAATTTTGCACAAGTGCTAAATTCATCCAGCTCTTTTAGAATATGTAATGAAAAAAAAAATGCTGAACGAGCCTCTGATTTTTTCCCCAATATGTATATCATCGGAAACGAACAAAATGTTTGGCAACACTGTTGATATATCAGAAGTTATCACTTAAAATGGCTACTTTTTTAAATTTAACTGACTTTGTACCTCATATTTTGGACACCCTGTATAGGTACAGGGGTGTGCCAATTTGGACCCTTTTGAAGAGGCGTTATAATGACCTTAAAATCTGTCAACTATGTGTTGATTTTTCAAATTCGTTTCCATTTAAGACAATTTGAAAAATTCAACACAAAATTGACATACTTCAATGTCATTAACGCCTCTTTCAAACCGACCTTGTATCTCACATGATACTTTGGACACCCTGTATTTATTAACCAAAATCCGATATTTTTCAAAATTATTGCCCAATACGTAAGGGTCACTCATAAATGTTTTCCAAGCTCTTATCCCCGATTTTTTTTAAAGTAGAAATAGAATATTCAATTCACTTAAACCTTTGGCCACAAACCAATAAAGCCCTCCAAATTACCAATATGTGTTAAATTTAATTGTTCCAATTATTTAATCCTTGTACACATCAGGTTCAAACATTCAAACTAGGGTAGGGTTTTATTCATCCATAAAGAAATCCCAAGGGCTCATAAAGCGAGCCAGCAGCTTTTATAGTGAAAAAAAAGTGTTATCGATCTCCCAGTTGAAAAGCCTTGAATTGAAATTTTCTCTCGAAATTTAAAATGTAAATTTCCATTTCAGATCCTTTGTTGATATTGATTTTAACTTGCGAGTAGTGTTGCTACACACACGGTTAACATACTAATAATAAATATTTGTCGATTCCTCGGGTAAACAAAAGACTATGGCGTATACCCATAACAACCACGCCTGTAATAATTAATTAATACAGGAATTATTTATATATAATGTGGCTTGAATATTTAGTTTTGGCTTGAATCAACTATAATTTTCCATCCTTTCTCTTTCATGCTTCAATAAAAATTGGACGTCGCTAGCGACGTTGCGGTGGTAACAAATGATATTTAAATAATCGATGGTTAAAACTGAATGAAATATTTTTGTTCAAAGTCAAATAAAACATTCTTCCGCATTGAATTACTCAACCAATTTTTTTCTCCAAATCTTTGTGTTTGCAGATTATAGGGGTCCGTATATTATGTAGAGTTAATATCGATTTCATCCTTTTCTTTTTTTTGAAGTTAATCATTGGAAACCAGAGGACTTTTGGGTTTTAATTTTAGAAATTTAGCTTTAGATAATAGATCCGACCATCATCAAATAATTATAACACCGAATTGTTTTTCCTATTATAGTTCAATTGTGTAACAATTGAAAGCTAGAAAAAAATCAAGGTTCGTAGACTATAAATTTAATACAATTATTTTTTTTTTAAACGAGCCACTACAGTTATAAATTGAAGTTTGAATCAAGGATAATTGTGCGGATAAAAACATAAGTTTATTGCTAAATCCATATACAAAAATCATTGTCCGTTTATTATTTACTTACGTTTTGGATCGTTTGTCAATTTCATCTTGTCCAAAGCCGAAGAGTCTCTGTCGTTGTAGACAAGCACCCCGGAAGCTTTACTTTTGAACGCGTTGTCGACTTTTACGTCGAAATTGCAATGGCCTCTTTTAATTAGAGCTATCCATGGCGTACCTGGAATTAAAGTTGCTTGTTTTCATTATCCAGAGTAGAAAAGTGTTTGTTTTACCTGGTGGCGGAAGTTTTCCATCCGAACGGGAACTGTCGAACGGGTAAACGCAACCCGAGTGGTCATCCGGTCTATGTCTGGATGTAATGTGCACTAATAGTCCATAGGCAGCACCTAGAAAAAGATTATTACAAAGTATTAAATTATACAGGGATGTACAATTTTGAAAAAAACTAACTTCAATCTATGTAAAATCAAAAGCATTTTTTAATTATTCACTACATCAGCTAATAGGTACTTCCAAGTTAATTAAAAAAAAAAAATCAATAGATGCGTGCAACCGTAAAGGAAATCCCATGTGCAATTAAAAGTCATAACAATTTTTTTTGTCAAGACCCATTTTACATGCACGCGTTGTTTGTGTGATAATATAAATTATTATTAAATTTCTATGACAAAAGTGTCTATATTATTCCATAAGATAATTATAGTTTCTATTCGTGTCGAAATTAAATTGTATACGAAAACTACTAAGTCTTCCGAGTGCGACCAGAGTTTATTTATATTCCTAATTGCTCCAGGTGCAGTTTGACGAAACGAAAACAACCGATTTGTATGCAAATGTTGCACTGACCAAGCCAATTTCGTAACGCTGTTGTTGTATTTACAATGGTTGTTGCCCGATCCACTTGAAATTTTGATATTTTTAAGCCAAATTCATAAGAAATTTCCCAAAAAATCCTTGAGGCCACAGAATCTACAAAATGTCTTTCAGTATGTAGAAGAGTTTGCAAAACGATATTTTCCAATCTAGAGTTTAAAAGAAGAGCATGTATTATTATAGAATTTTATTGTTTGCTTTATTTAAACTTGGTTGTACCTATATTTTTGTTTTGTTCTGTATTTTTAACTCTTTTTTTGCTTAAGTTTTATCGCGCTATTCACCATTTTATTTATTAGTTGAAGAGTCTCAGACGCCGAAAAAAGACACCGGAGCTAAGAAGCCCAGAACTGTTCCATCAAGTCCACAGACTGGCTCCTATAGTGACGCGGCTAAAGGAATACGGCTGGCAGTTATTCACGGACGCCACCCAGACACTACACTAGATCAGAGCTAAGCCGACCTGATCCAAAACGCTCTAGTGACTACTCCCCCAAGTAGCATCAACCAATGACGTGCACCAACCCACCGCAGTTCCACAAGACATCGTTCAGCGCAAGAATCCTATGGATGACCTGTGCTAACGAGCAGAAAACAGACTGGCTCAGTAGAAACATCGAACCCTTTGGCCAACTCTGGGATGGTGCAGAACTCAGAGTTGTTAACCCTGTGGATCTCCCAGCAAGGCCAAGGTTTTTCATTTTCGTGCCAGAGCCAGAAGCGATCTCAGTGGAAGACCCGTCTTGGGATACAAAACTCAGGCCTAAAGATGAGAGAATGGCTCCTGCTCCGCCAGAAAATAGAGAAGGAAAGACAGCTCCTAGCCTTCTCTATGGATGAAAAGTCGTCCAAGACCCTGGAGAAAACCTAGTTTAAAGGATATTATAAACTGGAATGCGAATGGCGAGCAAGGTAACTCAGATCAACCTCCAGGCCAGTAAGGCAGTCTCGGCTGTCCTTTCCGCTGCTATAGGGGAAGTAGATATTGCCCTGATTTAGGAACCGTGGATCAGACGCGATGAAATTGAAGGACTGAGCAGTGCCAATGGAATGATGATGTACAGCAGATCAACTGTCACTTCTCCGACCTGCATATACATCAAAAAGAACGTCAATAATGTACTATGCCCCTAGCTCTTTTTTGTTCTAGGGATATGACGGCAGTCAGAATCAGGCTCATCGGGGGCAATGGGCCGAGGGATATTATTATCGGATTACCCTACGAGGACCCTGAATCAACACCAACCAAAAGTGTGGAAGACCTGGTAAGACACTGTAGGACGAATGGGACACAGCTGTTCATCAGGTGTGATGCGAATGCTCACCACACAGTCGGGGGAAGTACTAACACCAACGATAGAAGTGAGTCGTCACAACAGTATATTAGCAAACAATTTACATACAGAGGGCTTTCATTTCAAAACTTGCCACCCACGTTATCTGCGTTAAGAGGCATGTTTGTGGAAATCGCCGAAACACGTCAACAAATTTATTGAGGGGGAAGGTTTTTTACGTAAAACTAGACTTCACTCCTTCAACCCCCTAAGACCTAGGGCTACCACCCCAACATTTTCAAATGAGACAGGGGGTCTAGTGATAGGTCATTTTAAAGAGCTGTTTAATCTGTACATTTTGTCATCTTATTTTTTGAATTTAAGCTTAGTTTTGCAGAATAACTCCCATTTCAATGTTTAAAAATGCCCATCTATCTTTAAACACACCTGCTTCTTTACCTGTTGCTGTAATGAAAATGTAGGTAAAAAAGCAGGTGTGTTTAAAGATAAAACTCTTTATTAAATTGACAACACACAGCCCATGGCATCGAACCCATACGCCAACCAGACACTTTTGTATTGCCAACTCAATCATCATTTTGAATTAATGCTATTTAAAATTTGAGGCTTGAGGCTAGTGTCACATCAATAATCTTCTTCCTAGTTGAATTAACAAATGTGGGTTTATTTCCTACATTTACTATACAGGGCTTTAATTTCAAAACTTGCCACCCACGTTATATGCGTTAAGAGGCATGTTTGTGGAAATCGCCGACGCCCGTCAACAAAATAGTGAGGGAAGGTTTTTTACGTAAAACTAGACTTCGCCCCTTCAACCCCCTAAGCCCTAGGGCTACCACCCCAACATTTTCAAATGAGACAGGGGGTCGAGTAATAGGTCATTTTAAAGGGCTATTTAATCTGTACATTTTGCCATCTTATTTTTTGAATTTGAGCTTAGTTTTGCAGAATAACACCCATTTCAATGTTTAAAAATGCCCATTTTTCTACTGACATTTTCATAATACGTTATTAAACGATTAAAATCTGTATCATAATGAACTTCATTATGATACAGATTTTCATTATAATACAGATTTTTAATATTATACAATGTCGATAGATGGCACCACCAGTTAAGAAATTTTGATTTTTTTTTCTTCTGAATGTTGACAGCACTCTGTTTATAGCTTTGCCATGGTAATTTGGCGAAAAACAATAATTTTATGAAAAAAATATTTCGAATTATTATTAAAAGTTACCTAATGTTTGGGATAAGGCATTATTATGGAAATATTGAGTGATAACGAAAAATTTTCACTAACACCTCCAGAAATTACAGAAAGGGCGACAAATGCAGGTAATAATATACTACCGGACAAGTCCAAGAAAATTTACGAAAAATTATATGGATTGGAAACACCAAAAATCCAAAAACACATCGTCCTTCTCAGAAAATGTTTTGATAGTGTATTTTGAAGAATAACAACAAAAAATGAAACCTTCAACTGTATGGATTACTCAATTATAAAATCTCTATTCAAAGTTATGCATAATGTTGACATATCTAAATATCATAAGTTTTATCAGTGGCAATAGAAAAAATAGTGTATGCAACTCTCATGTAATGGCCATTAATACACTCGCATGTTATATATGAAACTCGCCTGCGGCTCGTTTCGTATCCTACAACATGCTCGTGTATTAATGGCTATCATTACATGATCATTGCATAATATACTAATTTTCTATGAGTATTGAATAATATACAGTCATGAGCACAAAAAGTGGGACACCCGACTGACAGGTCTTGTCATTTTTCGCCATATTGCGTAAATCAATAAATCTCTACAATCGATTATTTGTCAAATATGACAATCTCTGTCATTGCTGTAGGTATAGCTGGTGAGATGCTGGTGAGCCTGTTTTACAATAGGAAAAAACAGGTGTCCCACTTTTTGTGCTCACGACTGTACGTAATATACATCCATTTTCTATTGATCAATGTGAATGATTACTCACACAGTGAGTTTTTTTTCATTACCCAATTGTTTTCAACCAATGGAAATATCCTGATCTCATTACTCCACCATTCAAGAGCCAATCAGAAAATTCGACAAGTTGACAACATTCAACCTTTCAATCAAACCTAACCTCACTTTGTCCTCCAGCTGTCAGAATTGTCAATTATTTTTGATAAGAAAATTAAATAAAAAACCGCATAACTCGTGCCTATTATCTATTAATCATAGAAGAAGTATAGTACCTATTCTACACATGGGTAATGGCTATTACTCACTCAGATGATTACACTACTCGCCTGCGGCTCGTAGTCCAAACTTCATCCTTCGTGAGTAATAGCCATCATTACCCGCTCGTTGAATAATACCTATACTATTGTCGAAATTACATGTAAAATCATTCCCAAACACTACATATCTGATGAGGCAAGTTCACGGCAAGTTGCTCGGATAACAGTAACATCAAATTTGAAATTTCAGGAGAACAACTTCAGTAAATTATCCTTCCGAAATACAGACTGGGACGCATACAGACCTGGAGTATAGTCTGCCGAAAATCAGAAAGACAATAAGAGACACTGAAGACTTGGAGATGGTTGTGGATCAATTCAATGATGCAATTATCTCAGCCTTCAATGAATTAAAATGAATGACATCTCTTTTAAGAACCGACGAACATTTTTGACGTCATTGATTTGTTTCAGTGAATTTTTATTTGTTAAACAAGGAAGGCAAATGCTGGTGGCAAGTACAAACCCTGGCGAAACAAACTTTACTTACAACAGGGACATCCACCAGGAAAGTGCCCTGGTGGAACAAGAGCCTTGCAAAGTTAAGGACAAAAACCAGAGCAGACTTCAATAAAAAGCCATGAGAAACGGGCAGTGAGAGACATACAGAACCACGTTGAAAAAGCTCATAAAAGAGCTGAGGGAATCCTAGAGAAGGTTTTGGAGGAAATACTGTGAGGATATAAAAAATACTCAAGGCTACAAAGAACTCTGCTTTACTAGCTGGTCAGAATAGTGGAGACCACACTGGCAAACAACGAGGTGATGCTGGGTTCCTTCTTGGATACAGAGGGAGCTTTTGACAATACTTCATTCGATTCAATTAATCAGATCTCTCAAGCACAAAGGAGTTCAGGACATCTACCTACTGTGTATGGATCAACTTCATTCTAAGAGAAAGAATGGTAGAAACCACCATGGCAGAGGA